CAAAAGGTATTCAACAAATAGGATCAGAGTAAACCATCAACCAGAGCTCAGGAAGCTTAGGTGCCCCAGAATTAACATGTCAGTGTGCATCACCAGATGGAGGGCACAGGAGGCCCATGCTGGTTCCTGGTCTGGATGGGGATGTGGTTAATCTAGTATTGTCTTTTATTCCCATAATTGATGGTATAAATCAACAACAACAGCAACAAAAGAAAGACAAACTACAACCAACACCGACAGCCCTCACCTTAAAGGGGTATGAGTTTGTTTTGAAGCCAAATATGAGTGGCCATGGCATAGGACCATAGATTTAGGTTATGCCAAATCATGTGTTCCAATGTGGTAGAGTTTTAGGAAGTTTGATAGTGAGAGACCAAAGAAAGTCACAAATTGAGATACGTTTCAATTACGTGGTGGAAATACATGTACAGCAAAGTTACAGCAAAGTGGTGAGACCTCTGCTACGGCCTCAGCTGCTCTCTGGTGACATCCTTGGCTGTCCTACTTTCCCTTTCTGCTGTTTTGAGAAATACCATGATCAAAAGCAGCTTAGGGAGGAAAAGACTCATCTTCTTCTTCCTTTTCCCGGAGCTGAGGACTGAACCCAGGGCCTTGCACTTGCTAGGCAAGTGCTCTACCACTGAGCTAAATCCCCAACCCTCATTTTCTTATAGGTTACAGTCCATCATTGAGGACAATCAGGGTAGGAACTCACGGGAGAAACCTGAAGCCGAAACCACGGAGGAACACTGCTTGCTAGCCTTCACTTTGGCTTGCTCATAGGCTCACGGTTTCCTAGCTTTCTTTTATAACCAAGAAACATCTGGCCTAAGGGATGGTACCTCTCACAGTGGTCTGGGCCTTTCTGTATTAATTAATAAGACATTCCCCACAGACATTCCCATAGGCCAGTCTAATCTAGGCAGTTGCTTAAGGCTTTCCTCTCAGGTTATGGAAACAAGAAGTTTAGTTGACTTTGACAGTTGACTACATATTATCGTTCTGTAGAATTGCCGACCATAAGCATAGTGAAACTATTCTGTATAATGGGCTGATTGTATACAAAGATTTAAGAATTTGCTCAGGAAAATGTTCTTATGATTACATAATTTTAGTTATGTAATTTAGTAGGAATGCCTCAGGTAGGAATAATTCTTTTTTTAAAATTTTTGTTTTGTTTTGTTTTTCTGAGACAGGGTTTCTCTGTGTAATTTTGGTGCCTGTCCTGGATCTTGCTCTGTAGACCAGGCTGGCCTCGAACTCACAGAGATCTGCCTGGCTCTGCCTCCTGAGTGCTGGGATTAAAGGCGTGAGCCACCACCACCTGGCCAGGAATAATTCTTTTAAATAGAACTTTTTTCTACTGTTAGTGCAGGGGCAATCCAGTAAGTGGAGGTTTTTACCCATGGGAAAACCTCCCAGGAGCAGATTGACATTTAAGAAAACCTTGTTGTAAAGAGATTCAGGCATCCATTTTATCTCAGGGTTTTGAGTTTTGACCTTAGGAATTTTAGTAACCTTTATCAAGCGAAGTCTCAGCTCCATAAGGCTCATGTAACTTAACCAGACTCTTGGCAACTTGGTCATAAACTCAGTTTTGCTCCACCTCTTTTATTTTTTTGAATAAAATCTTATTTTATTGTAGAAAAAAAAATGCATCCTTATCTAAAATATTATTTTTCCCCATTTTTCCTGAAATATAAACTTATACTTACTTTTTATTATTTATTTCATTTCTCTTAACAAGAGTTGGATCCAAATTACATACTTGATTTAATGTAGCAAAGTAATATTATCTGTACACATAGTGTTAAGTCCTAAGTTTTTGATTTGGTTCTTCCTTAGGCCTATGGAATTTGAAAGAGTTCCTCTACCTCTTTTCTTTTAGCTAAAATAGAAGAGTTAGAGAATGTTACATTTCAACAAAGACCTTGAACAGTCAATTATCCTATGAGCAGGAAAGAGAGAAAACCCCTGTAATTGTAGTTTTGAACACAAAAAACTGAAAGAGACAGCAAATAGTTAGGTTTTCTGAAGGACCAAGAGGGGAGAGAAAAGAAAGACAAACAGACAACAGGAAACAGGAGGACAGGCTGATGAGAGAGGAGAGAAAAGAAAGACAAACGGACAACAGGAAACAGGACAGGCTGACAAGAGAGGCAGTATTGGCACATTGGACCCAGAGCATCTGTGCACTTAGAAGAAGAGCAACATAACTTACCTACAAACCAAAATCAACAAAAATAGTTCCATAATATTTTATCATGTTATAGCTGTTAGAAACTTGATTTACAACATATTATATGTGCCACAGAAAGAACATTTTCTGTTAGAAACAGAAAAAGGGTTTCTCAATCCAGTACTATGGTTTTTGTTTGATAGTCTATGACTATTGTGGGGAGCATTGTCAGCCTAAGTTTCATAACTTCGTACACACACACACACACACACACACACATACACACACACCAGGATTCCTTGCAGCTTTTCAAACATCCTTCCTGCTATCACCATTCTTAGCTATTGGATTGACAGCTAGTGGTCTGTTAGGAAGACTGTACGAGGTTTTGATGGTCCCCAGGACGTGAGGTCAGATGCAGGGGTAGGCATGGGTAGCTTTCAGAGGGACTTAACATCGTTTGTTAAGTTAGCCAAAGATCGTTTGATTCTAGTTTGCCGTACTTCACTCTCCGTAATGTCAGACTGCAGTCATTTGGTCCCACGGAATCTTTAACCGGGAGTGCAGTCTTTCCTCTTTTTTTCCCCTTTTCCTCTCCTCCTCACTACCCTTCCTTCCCCCCTTCTTCCCTCCATCCCTCCCTCCCTCCAGGGAGCTTCAGCTCATAAAAACTTTCTGGGGGAAAGGAGCAAAGGCAGTTAGTGATTCCAGAGTTTAGTCTTGTCCCTCTGGTCACAGAGTCAGCCTTATCTCTGGGATTCCTATGGGTGCGTCTCTCCCCGTTGTCTCTGCATTTCCCTCACTGCCATCCTCTTTCTCTCTGTCTGAGTTTGCTTATTGCCAAGGCCACTGATCCTTGCATTCCATCTGGATTAGAGTTCCACTCGGAATGTTAGCAGTGTGTGTGTGTTGAGTTATTTATAATGGATATATGTAGATTCTTTCCTGTAATATGAAGTACAAATATACCCTTATAGTTCAGAATGTAAAAATGCTACTGTCGGGGCTGGAGAGATGGCTCAGAGGTTAAGAGCATTGACTGTTCTTCAAGAGGTCCTGAGTTCAATTCCCAGCAACCATATACATGGTGGCTCACAACCATCTGTAATAAGATCTGATGCTCTCTTCAAGAATGAAGGCAAAACATGCAGACAGAATACTGTATACATAATAAATAAAATAAAATAAAATAAGATCATTGTTTTGTTTAAAAAAAAGGGCTGGAGAGATGGCTCAGTGGTTAAGAGCACCGACTGCTCTTCCAGAGGTCCTGAGTTCAATTCCCGGCAACCACATGGTGGCTCACAACCACTTGTAATGAGATCTGGTGTTCTCTTTTGGCCTGCAGGGACACATGCAGGCAGAATACTGTATACATAATAAATAAATAAATCTTAAAAAAAAAAAGTCACTATCTAGACCTCTGTTCCCCAATCAGGATTTTCCTAGTTAAGATTTATATATAAACACACTTCATAACAATAAATTTCTCATTTTTGTCAGTGAATATGCCATAGTTTACTTGGATGTTTTCTTGGTTTTGGAAGTCACATGTTTTAATGTTAAAAATTGTGCTGGACTTTTGTCATATAAAAGGAGTGAGAAATGAGTGTTTTGGGAGGCTCAACACTGGTTTCTAGTTTCACAAATTTACCTAAGCACTTTTATCTTCAGCGAGAAACAGAAGTTGTGAAATCTTCAGTTGCTTTGATAAATTACATTTATCCTTTCAGGTGTGCCTATATCCTACATTAATTAAATCAAATACCAAATATAAAAAAATAATTAAATCAAAGTTATTTGTTTTGTTTTTCTTCAGAACAAAGAACATCCCCGTTCCTTGACTATGTGTGGCCATGTTGGTTTTGAAAGTTTACCTGATCAGCTGGTTGACAGATCCATTCAGCAAGGCTTCTGCTTTAATATTCTCTGTGTGGGTGAGTGCCAGTAACAACTCTAGGTTTTCCAAGATTCGTGTTCCTGTGCTCATGTCATCCTTCCCCTAAGCATGATGACTCTTGTGTCTAAGGTTAATGGCTCTGTGGATCTCAGGAGTTGTTTCAATTCTACTAGTTTTGTTTGGCTTAACTTCAACCTTTTTTTTTTTTAAACTTTTAGTACTCTCTTCAGAGGTCAGAGTAACTTAGCATGTGTAATCATTGTCCTCGAGTGATTTAGGACCAGGCTTAGCCTAACTGTCTTTTATAGCAACTTAGCCTTTGAAATGGTTGGAATCCTTCAAGCCATTCCAGAGTAAGATGTGTGATTCTTCCCAGTGATCCTCTGCCCTTGTGAAGATATGCTTTGTTTCTTTCAGGAGAGACTGGAATTGGAAAGTCAACACTGATTAACACATTGTTTAATACTAATTTTGAAGAGCTTGAGTCTTCCCATTTCTGTCCATGTGTTAGACTTAGAGCGGAGACATACGAACTCCAGGAAAGCAATGTTCGCTTGAAACTGACCATTGTGAATACAGTGGGATTTGGTGACCAGATAAATAAAGAAGAGAGGTATGTGGCTTTTGTTTGTCCCCTTTCTTGTAGTAAGACAAGTTTTATTTCTGGGTGAAGACTGCCTTCTTCCTCTTCAGCTGTGATTTTATTTTCTGCTGAGATAATACATGACTTTGCTTCCCAGACACAATTTTTTTCTTTTCTTTCTTTAGCAACTGATCAATGTTTTGGTTTTATTGACAAGTTTGTATTTTTCTATCGAGTTGTCATATTTCTTTAGAATAATTAAATCACGGTATTAAAATATATATTTAATAAAATAGTTGTAATTATTTTCTGCTATTCAGTGTATAGTCAGTGAATATTTTCACTAATTTTTAGACTTACCATGTTGAGAAAAAGATGTATAAGACATATAAGGGCAAGTGTATACAGTGGTTATATATCTTGTCTATGAATTCATTTCTTTTTCCTGTCAAATTTCCAGCAAAATAGCCACTTACATTATTATAGGTATTATAGGAAACTTATGGAGACTCTCATATATAATGCACTTGGACCATATTCATCCCTCTCTCCCCACCTTCATCTGTCCTTTGGTTGTCTCACATTCTCTCTCAGAATTATGTCTGTCATTCATATATATATATATATATATATGTATAATGTATACACACATTCATATGTACGTCACACACACACACACACACACACACACACACACACACGCACTCACGCACGCACGCACGCACGCATGCATGGCTTGACATGGGTAATCTCGTTGACCTTCCCTATCTGTAGCTCAGCTGGGGATGAGGCTCTATGAACCTTTCCCCATTAACACTGGAATTGCTATGGGCTGTGTGGGCAACCATGGCTCTTTAGAGTTCATAGGTACAACATCCCTGTCATGTCGAGAAGACAATATTTCGCAGCAGTTCTCCTGTCCTCAGGCTCTTAACAGTTTTTCCACTCCCTGTTCTGTGGTGTTCTTGGACCTTGAGTTGTATATATATGTAATATATGTATCCTTGGCGGTCTTAGCAGGTCACAGTACCAGGCATGAGCTCTCTCTAATTCAGCAGGCTTTAAATCCAGTCAGACAGTCTACCTAGGTGTAGAGCGAGACAGAAGCCACGTGGCAGGCATTTTTGGTGAATTCCCCAGCCTCTCATCCCACCTGACCTCACGCCCAGCAATGAGCCGCACTCATGGGCTCTCTTGGTGAATCCCCTCACACCCCAGCTTGCCCCAGTGGCCCACCCTGCAGCTCTGTTAATAAACCCACTGCCCCATTGGCCCCAGCACCTTCCTGGAACTTTCCCTGTCCTGGAACTTTACTTAAACAGCCTCACACCACCACTGAGACCCAGTGAACCCCAGTGACCACTGAGTTAGTACACTCCAAACTCTGCACTACAGAATCAGTCCTAAAGTCACGCTGTAGGCTCTTCCTCCTTCATCTGAAGTCAGCCAAGTTTGGGGGACAGTAAAAATAGAACTGAACCCCTAGTCAGCATAGGTGGGCTAGAAACTCGTCTCATACACACGACCAGTGAACTAACTCCAGTGTCCAGGTCCCATTGCAAAAACACTGGCAATATGAAAAAACAGATAATATACAGCCCTCGTCAGCTTACTAGCCTTATAAAAATGTTCTCCAGTGAGAGCTGTCCAGATCAGTGTTTCTCAGCCTTCCCAATTCTTCAGCCCTTTAATGTTGTGGTGACCCCAACTACAAAATTATTTAGTTGCTATTTTATAACTCATTTTGCTTCTGTTATGAATTGTAATGTAAATATCTGATATGTAGGATATCTGATCTGCAACCCCCAAAAGGAGTCACAGCCCACAGTTTGAGAACTGCTTGTCTAGATGAACCTGTATCAAAGTTTTTAATAATGAAATTCTAGCTTAGTTTTATCTTATGTCTTGTCCATTTTTTCCCAGTAGTATTATAGAGGTTAATTGTAGATTCTGTATTGATTTTGGACTATGAAAGGGAGGAATATATTGGTGTAACTTTTCATTATCCTTTCTGAAATACATATGTATAGTTTTATTATTACAAGTTGTTTTCCAGAGTCATTTTGTATGAACTGAGTCTGTGTTATCCAGGTTAGGATGTGATCTTTCAGCCTATCAGGAAATGATTCATATGGACCCTCCAGAAAAAAAGTCAGCAGGCAGTACAGGCTGCCTCACTTTAAATGTTACTAATGGTTACATCAACTTAGAACTGGTTTGTATGTAAGTAAAAGTATTTTTAAATGGGCTTAAACATAGGGCCAAGACACTTGATCTCCTGACTAAATCTTATTGGATTATGGACTAAGACCTATATAGGTATAACTTCCTGTTTACATCACAGTCTTTGTATATAATTTTACTCTAACTGTAACATTCCTGTTAATAGAGCTCTTCAAAGTCACAGAAGTTACAGTCATTCAGCCTTATAGAATGTAACACAGGTATTGTGTTTGTTGGGAACTTGAGTTCACATCCCCCCTTCTTTACAAGGCATCCCATTTTGTGCAAGTGAGGCCAAATATTGTTTCATTTCTCACAATGCTTGAAGGCACATTCCTAGGTTCTGATAAAGATGACAAAGAGTAGTCAGGAAAGGCAGTTTATGAAGGAGAAATAAATGGTTGGTAAAGTCATTAAGGAAGAAATCTCTAGCTCATATCTCTAAATTCACCCCCAGTCATGATCCAGGCTGATTTATTATACTCTTTTTCACTGTCTGTATCTCACACAACATTGATTTGTGATATATTAGGAGTATTATAACTAAAGTTAAACACAGTATGGTATAAAGAAATAAAAATCTTTTAACAAGTGCTTTACCTTTCTTGAAAACTTAGAGATGTTAATTGTTCTAAATCTACTTAAAACATATTTATGATAAAAAA